GGTGACAACAGCAACTTTAAAGATTAGACAGCAACCTTAGCAGGCAGTGAGTTTATGTTGATGGGGCAGGAAAAACTCAGAAAAGGAGGGTGAGAATGGATACAACTTGAAGAATGTTATCAATGTCACTGAATTGTACACATAGCAACTGTTGAGCTGGTCTATGTTTTGCTGTGTATATTCTCAAGAACAAAATAAAAAAAAATTTAAAACTGCTTAGCACGGCACTTAGCACACAGTAAGCAATCAAAAAAATACACCAATTCGCCCTGAAGCTTATCAGATCCTTTCTGATACAATTTCAACAGGAAGCAGCACAGGGCGGGGGGGAGTGGTAACTGAAGTGTTCCAGTGGAGGTGGTGGTGAGTAGTGGGTGCTGGGTGCTGGGGCAGCAGCAGTCTCCAAAGGGGAGGCAGGGGGGACATAGAATGGATCAACCAATGAGCAGTTCCAAATCTTTTCCCCTACATCACACACACTCAAACCTCAAGCTTTGTTCCATTTAACTTTTTAAGTCAATGTTTTAATTTTATCTAGAAAGAATGTAATGGTGATACAGATACTATCATTCTCAACAGTCTGGACCTAGTTTTTATTTTTTTTATTTTTAATGTCATAGCACTGTGTATATTAAAGCCCTTAAAAAAACCAGTTGCCATCGAATCAACTCCAACTCATGGCAAACCCATGTGTGTTAGAGTAGAACTGTACTCCATAGAATTTTTAGTTTTTTGGAAGTAGACTGCCAGGCCTTTCTTGCAAGGCATCTCTGGGTGAACTCGAACCTCCAATCCTTCAGTTAGCATGCGAGCACGTTAACCGTTTACACCACCCTCGGGCTGCTACATCAAGGCCTTGAATAGGAAGGGTTTGGTGTTACTTCTAGATTCAGCAGATAGGTATCTCCCCACTGACGCGACAGGAGATAACTGCACCTTGGGAAGCAAACTCTGAGGAAAGGTCAAGGCCCCAGGAGTGGCCCAGCAGGGCCTCCAGGCCTTTGGACAAACACATGCTCCCAAAAAAGGTCAGCTTCTCCCTTCTTTCCACGACTACATACTTTTTTCTACCCCTGAGCTCAAGACTGGATGCAGAAGAGCCCTTGACTCCACCCCTGACCAACTCCACAGCCTCAGGAATGGGAACAATGATAGTGCCCACTTTGTAGGGTGGTTACAAGGATTAAATGTGTCAGACCTCACAGTGCTGTGAGGCTCAAACGAGAATACACAGTATTCGATCAATTAAAAGCCATACACAGCATTCACAATTACTTCCCAATATAAAATCAAAAATTCTTTAATGTGCATTGGAATTATCTGACGGCTTTAAGTGATGGATGACCCAGGCCTCAAGCTCAGAAGCCAAATTTAAAAGATGTGTGTCATGGATTGTACTGTGTACCCCACAAAATGTGTTATCAATTGGGCTGGGCCATAATACCCAGTATTGTGCGGCTGTCCTCCCTTTTGCCATTGTAATTTTATGTTAAAGAGGATTAGGGTGAGATTGGGTCACATCCCTGGATCCAATGTAAAGGGAGTTTCCCTGGGGTGTGGCCTGTACCACCTTTTCTCTCTCAAGAGATAAAAAGGAAAGGGAAGCGAGCAGAGAGTGGGGACCTCATACCACCAACAAAGCAGTGCTGGAAGCAGAGCGAGCCTTTTGGACCTGGGGTCCCTGCACGAAGAACCTCCTAGTCCAGGGCAAGACTGACGACAAGGACCTTTCTCCAGAGCCAACAAAGAGAGAGAAAGCCGTCCACTGGAGCTGACACCCTGAATTTGGACTTTTAGCCTACTTTACTCTGAGGAAATTAATTTCTCTTGTTAAGGCCATCCACTTGTAGTATTTGTTACAGCAGCAAAAGATGACTAACACAGAGTGTTTTAGGGCCCTGGAACTGGTTGTTGTGACAAACCCCAGTAGGTGTGCTGGAGAGGGCAGGGGCCGCGGCTCCTCCCCAGCTAGGTGCCGGGACATCTCACCCCAAGTTCTTCTACCCTTCCCAATCGTACCTGAGAGTGGCCTGCCCACACTTTGAACATTCTCCAACTGACCCCTAGGTCCTGTGTGGTGCTAGCAGTTTGCGATTGGCAGTTCAAACCCACCCAGCAGCTCTGTGGAAGAACAACCGGTGGTCTGCTTCCGTAAAGATTACAGCCAAGAAAACCCTAGGGAACAGCTCTATTCTGTAACACCTGGGGTCACCATGCGTCTGAACTGACTGGATGGCAACGGGTTTGGTTATTTTTGGTAACTCACCCCTCAACAGTGCTTTGCCATGACATCAACTGAGGCCAGACCTCGCAGCCCCGGACCCAGTGGTGGTGCCACCAGGGAGGAAAAGCCACGGGCACTGAGCCTGGAAGAACTGGAAGGAATAACCCATTCTCCGTAAACTCCAGCCTGCTCTCTGAATAACTTTAAATGTAGCCTTTACATTTGAGCCAAACTTTTTTCTCACCCACCTGCATTCTAATCCACTTTCAAGGCAAATGGCCCTTTATAAACATTTTTACGGATATAAACCTATCTAGTCAAAGTTGAGTTTCGCTATCAAATCAAAATCTACATGAATAAGATACAAACTGCATTAAGTGAGCTATAATTTTAGTAGAGTCATTTGAACGTAAGTATTAACAGTCTGCAGTCGTCTGGATTATCAGCATTCAAACATTAAGCTACAAGCATCTTCTTGACCACCAAGCCTTTGCGGAATTGTGAAAATGTCTGGAGTTTTTGAATATGAAGTCAAAAAGACGGGGGGAGGAAGGGGGCAGGGGAGGAGTCACCACACAAATATCCACTCCAAAGAGGCCTGGATCTCTGTCCATTTTATTCACTGATGGATCCCAAGCACTCAGAACACAGCACAGCATATTGCAGATGCTCAATATCTGATTCTGTAAAACATCCTTCTAAAAGTATTTTTAACAAATCAGCCTAAAATAGCCAAGCTAGAGAGGGATTTATAATCAGAAACATCGTGAGATGCTTCAAACCCTAACTGGGACATAAGGCTTCAATTATTAATAAGCATTAGGTGTTTAACTCTATAATGAGCAGAGCCAACGCAGATGGGACAGCTCCTTCCTGGTGAGACGGAGTTAAACGACTTCTCAGAGATTCCTTCCTTCAATAAATACCTGAGTGCCTACCCTGCTCCAGGCCCTACTCTAAGCATTTGGGGGCAGTGTGGAGAACAAGATGGCCCCTGCTCTGCTGTCAATCTAGTGAGGATGTTCTGTCAGTGGCCCTCTTTGTGCAGACTTGTATCTAAAATCAGGAGGCAAAATAATTTGCCCACGGTTAAATCACCAGTGCACGGGGCATGGACAGCCCTTGTTGTTGTATGCCTTGTTGGATGCCTGGATGGATGGAGGGATGAATGAATGGCAACCAGATGGGTTAAGATGGAAACCCAGTTCTCCTTCCCAGATGAGCCTTCTTTCCACCTCACATACCTCAACTCCTCACCTGGGCACTGCTGCCTGTCCAGGGCTCCTTTTAGGAGAGCACTCACAACTGTGCATATTGAAGGTCATTTGAAACACCACCAACCTCTCCCCCTCTTCCCGCACAACACCCTCCTCCTCCCTGGGTTTTTCCAACACAGGATCTAAGCCAGAAAGGTGAACACTGGGCCGAGGGAGGGTAGATTACACCTTCACCACCTTTCCCTAAAAAGGAATGAAACATACTCATGTCAATAATGCACTGGAACAAGTGCTATAAATATGATGGTGGACTATATACAGCTTAGAGTCAACCATTTTTAATCTAGAAAGCAGCAATTGCATGTAGTCAAACTTAATGTAAATGTGACAACTTGTTTGTTTGTCCAGGGATCCATAAAAACAAAAATCAATCCGCAAACTAGAGTAAAACTGTCAGCAAGCACAGAGGAAGCTGAGACCCCACAGATGAAATTCTTTATTTCACTCTGACTAAAATAAATCCACACGGTACCACTGCCCCACTGCATGTCTACCCCTAGACAGTATATAGCAATTTGAATCAACAAATATTCAGTGGATGCCAAACAGAAAACAAGTGAGGAGATGCCGCTGGGGCTGACGACTGTACCGCACTTAGTCAAAGCGCAGGCTCTGAACAGCCCTCCTACGCGCACCTTCACTGCTTCCCCTTTAGTGCCCCGAAATGCATTACACATCACATTACGTACAAAACGCAGTCCTTTCACCAAGTGTTTAGAAAGTTTTTTTTATTGGTTACAATTATATAAAATGTATCATTGGAATTCCCCTCCTATTTATTAAGTGCTTGCTAGCAACAGCATAAAAAATCTTTTTTATACATCTGACAAACTCAAATGGTTTATTTCATGCTAGAAGGGGAAAAACAGCAAACACTGCTCTTGTCTATCTATACTTAATATCTCTCTCTTTCTCTGAAGGCTGCAATGGTTAAATCAATGGACAACCCCTTTTGTATGTCAAATTGTAAATTTTAATGTTTTCATTAGAATAGTCTTTTATATCACTCTCCAACAAGAAACAATAAAATAACTAACAGCAAACATCAATACAGGAACAACACTCTCCAGATTAACAACTCAAACAAAACAAAAAGAATTTCATGTAAAATGTAAATCACATATAATACAATTGAAGCGTCCAAAACAATTTAAATAATTTTAAATATTTTATTTTTAAACTGCTACAAATGCTTTATACAATATTTCAACATAAAGTCCCCGTAACAGAAATGTAACAAAATGGGAATGATAGTGAAAGGGTTAAAGTGGCACAAATTCACCAAACAAGTATTACACTACAAATTTTAAGAGGTAGATTACTTTTTAAAGTTGAGAACAAAAAACGATATGAATAAAACCTAGCCATTTTCCACCAACTCGGTCATTAATTTTTGGGGGGAGGGGCCTATAAATGCATGGAGAAATGATATTTATATACTGAGGAAGAGGCCAATTTGTTGTTTTTAACCTCTATTAGAGACTGAAGTGTAAAACCTGGAACATAAATTCATTTGCATTTATGCGTAGACATACATCTATACAGGCCTGGGAGTCATCCTGTGCATTGATATATTGCTACATAGTATCTGATAATATAATAGTTATAAATTAGTGCCAGATAATAAACTGAGAGGATAATCTCCATTTGGATATACAAACATGACACTAGGAGAGACATAAAAAAAAGTCCATATCCAATCTGGTTTCCTCTCCATTATGCTGGCAATCTGCTTGTGATATTTTAAAAAAAAAAAAAAAACAGGGCAAGAGATAAGCTAAACGCCTCTCTCTGTCTACAGTTCATTTAGAAGAAAGGCATCAAGAGCTGGTGTGTGACCAAAATATTTTAAAATGAGTGCATCAGAATTTGTCATCCCTGAAATCTACAACAAACTACTGATAAAACAGGGAGCTTGCTTTGCAAGGTTGAGTTCAAATCATTCTCTGCTATGTGCCAAAAGCAAGGGCTACACTCAGAGCTCAGTTCCCAGTCCAGTGACGACAAGCCAGTTCATCTAGCCCATCTTACGGCACTCTCCTCTTTGGATCTCAATCACCCGGGAGCCCCGCACGGGTGCTGGGCACCACCGAAGAAGCAGATGCCTGACTCTAACCAAGATAACAAGAAGCCTGCTGGCAATCAGTTGTGTGTTAGGATTTGTGAGTCAGCTTCAGCTGGTCTTGCAAGCTTGGTAGATTTCGTATCCTTTGCCGTAGTGCTTATCCTAAGTTGAGCATGCAATATCGTTATTTTGTCAATTAAGGTTTGTTTTGTTTTGTTTTGGGGGCTTTTCTACAGGAAGTTCCTAGAAAATAAGAAAACTGAAGATAAATGACAACATAATATAACCTTATATGAATTGACCATGTTAAATAAAAAGGTGAGTAGACCATAAGACAAATGTTATTAAGACAGTGACATAAATGATTCTGAAAGTATCTCTGTATCCTACTCAAAACAGACGTGCTGGGAAGAGGTCTATTTTGGAATGATGTAGCAGAGATGGATACATGGGAAATCAGCATTTTGTGTCCGTCTTTACGTTTTCTTGACTGGCTGCAAAGGGGACTCAGGTTTGCTTTTTTTTTTTAAATTGATGCAAAAGGAGCATTAAGGAATTTCTGAACACTTTGGGATTTACAAAGACCAAAAACAAGTAAGAGTTGAGTAGAGAATGTGCCTCTTTCCTTCACTCTGTCTTCCAGGGGAGTCCATGGAAATAAACCCTCAGCAACAGATCCAAATACAGCAGCATCATAAGCCACAGGCAAGCTCTGATGCTAACTTCCAGGGTGTACCGTGGGTGCATCAACAAGGATTCACTGTTATTAAGAGAATCTGAAAGATGGGTGAGATGCCTGATTTCCTTTGCTGTGCTGTCCTAAAAAGAGGATTTGGAGCACGTGTCTTTTTTACATCCTGACTGGCACAATGGCTTGTGCTCTAGGAAACGACGAACTGGCAAATTCCGCTGAGCCCTCGGTGTTAAAACAGAACACTACGGCTGCATTCACGTGGCTGACTGCAAGCATACACTTGAGAAACAGCGGAATCCTAAACTGGCATTCAAATGCAAAAAGTCTGAGCAACGGGGACCAGCTCTTAATCACAGTTTGTTATAAAGAAATGCACAGGAAAGGATGCTCTGCCAGCTCGAGTAAGTCCTTGAGTATGCAACAGGGTAAGTAAAGCCAAATCACTAGAAACTTAAGAGTTTTGAAAGCAAGTGTTTCTAAATGTATAAGAGAGGTCTTGCGTCATGAATACAATCATCCCTAAATAAAATTTTGAAGTAGAAATATACTGAAAAGGATACAGACTGTACTTAAAACAACTCCTTTTCAACATATTATAACAAATATGTACAGAGGACGAGACCCACTCTGTAATGGCCCTGGGCTAGACACTGATGACAGCCACCACAGTCCCCGGGCCTGAGTTAAGGAATCCGGTTTTGTACTAAATTCACTACGAGGTACCAAGATGACGAAAACAAACTCTCTGAGAGAAATGCCTATTCCTATGTCCAGATACTCAAAATATGATTTCCTGCTGCTGGCCATTTGTTTTCTGAACCCCAAAACACTTGAGAGCTTTATGGTCATTTGGTAAGCAGCCCCTCCCTTTGCCATCCACTCATCTGCAATGTGTCTACAGGACAAGTCCCGTGGCTCACAGGAAGGAGGAACAGACGCCATGGATGCCTGAGCCATCAGCTACCAATTAGAACCATACCAGTGTTTGCTTATCTGATTCTTCCCTGTTTTCTTTTAGGCCAAATTTCACTCAAGCAATGTAACCCTCTGTTAATTATCAAACAAAGCACAATAATTAAAATTAACAGAAGCAAAGAAGAAAGACACGGTTTGATTACGCTCTTTGGTCCTTTGCAGTCTTAAGTAAAGGGTTCTTTAAACAGCACTGGATTGGTAAGAGGCTAATTAAATGAACTTCACAAATTTATCGTTACTCAGCTTTTAAGAGATTCCTTTTAGATAGTATCAGAGACCAAAAGGGATATATATCCAGTGCATTCTATAGCATCAACCATTTGAGAGATGCTGTTTAATACATTCCAGGAAAATGATCGCATATTCTGGTTCATAAGCATCTGAAAAGGACTCAACTCAATAATGTCCTATTGTTGTGGAACCTCCAGAACACAGACCAAGTACAAACAAGTATTCAGTTAAAGTGCTAAAGGAAGCCAGCTGGGACATCTGAGAAACGTGCTCATTTCACCAGGGCTGACCTGCAGAGGCTAAATGTTGACGAAGAGCTATAATAACTGAGTATTTAGTACATTTATGAAGTAGCTTTTTTTTTGTTTTTTTTAATCTGATCCTTTTATTCCTACAGTAGATCATTCAAATCAGCCTTGGCTAAAGGGTCTCCTCCAAATCTTTCTCTGCTGTGACATAAGGAACACCAGCACCAAAAACTCGACCTGGTTGATGATACAGTGACAGCAGGGCCTTTGTGTACTCATGCCCTCTCCAGAACAGCTCTCACTCCACAGTTAAGCCTAATTCTGAGTTGCTTAGAACACCAAAGACTTTTCAGACATTAGAATAGAAAGTGATGGTCATGGAAGCTGAGAGTCAGGCAGCGAACTTTGAAAATATAAGATTTTAAAGTATTTTGCAGAAATTCTATCTGACAATGAATAATTTCACATGAAATCAATCTGCAGGCATTATTCAGGAAACAGCAGGAATTCCAAGAATGTACATCGACTCCAGTTAAGTACACTGATGTAGAAAGTGTGAGAAGTCAGTGTCGCAAATTTAACTACTGCTTTATCTTTTGATCTCTAAGAGCAGTTCTTAATATAAGAACATTGAGTAAAGCAGTAAAATCACCTCAAACCTAAGATTAATTGGGGAAACCAAGGCACTGACCAATGAAGCTGACTTGCCCTGGGTCACCAGATGTGCCCGAACAGAACCACAAGGTTCCTGCCTCACTGGAAGGTTCTCCACACTCTCTCCTGCTCTTCTTCCCATTTGGGAACTGGCCCGTCTATTAACCTATGGCTGGAGGCAGGCGGGGGAGTGGGGGGAACTATAAGGCATTTGAAAAGGAATATGGTGCTTTGTTTTAACCAATGAGGCCAATTTTTAAAATTAAAACACTGGCAGTGAAAGAAAGCATTCTCATGGTTGCTACAACTTTGCTGAAGTCACAGAAATATTAAAGAAGGTTGCAATGTGGTTTACTAACTCAGTGATGCATCAATAAGAAATTACCTACCGTCAGTAAATAATGTAAGTTACACTGAGATACTATCCAAGAGAGGAAGGACATTTGAGAGAACTTCATCTTTTCATATAGGGTACTCTGGTGGGCTTTTCCATGGTTTCAAATTCAATTCACAACTGGCCCCATTCAAATGGTACCACTTTTGAGTTCTAAGCTGAAATAAAAACTATTTATTTCTCTACAGCAGTCAAAGCAGTGAACCTTCTTAACGCCTACAGTGTACGCAACAGCTACTTCCTTTACATGCTTGTAGCAAAACCTTACAGGAAAAAATTAAAAATATCTGTGGGCAAGCACACCATTTTCTTGCCTATCCTTACCCCCAAGCTCTTAAGTCTTCAACGTTCCGGCCCTGGAGGACACCGCTTACCTGAAGTCCTTCAGCTCCTGCTTGGCACTGCTGTCCTCTCTCCTGTTTTCACCCACGTCAGTGGCAGCGGCCAGCTGTAAGCTTCGGGTGATTGGCCCCCCACTCCGTTCTCTAGATTTCATATTGAACCGGTCTGTTCTTCTCTTACTTGCCAAGGTGGCTTTGCTTTGTAGAACAGCTTTACTTTTCTGGACTCGCACATGCAGGTTCCGGGACGCTTTGCTCGCAAGCTGAGCAGGGTGATTCTTGGCCATAGCTTTGGGTTTTTTCCCCTCGACGTGCGTTATTTTGGCCATTCTTATCGGGCTGGAGTTCCTTAAAGAGGAGTTTGGCTTCTTGGACTTCACCGAAGTCCCAAACTTGACATTCTGCTTGGACCTGAAGGACGAGGAGGGCAACGGGACCGGCGCAGGGCCAGAGCTGCGAGCTCGGGTCTTTCCCAGAGGAGCCGGCGTGCTCTGCATCTTAATCTCCGCGTCCGCCGTCCTTCGGCGGTGGTTGCCGTTACTGTTCTTGTCACTGCTGGCAGGTGACGAGTGTCCGCCTTTCTTGGATGAATGAGAAACTTTTTTTTTGGAAGGAGAAAGAGGTTTTTGGGGACAGCTGAAAGCAGCATGCTTATTCAGGCTTCCAATGTAAGTGAACTCTCTATTGCAGTAAGGGCAGATGTGAGAGGATGACTCAGAAGCATTTTTTAAGTCGGCTTTCTGCTTGGCAGCCTTGTTTTTCTGAAGGATTGCTTTCTGCACAAGCTGATTTTTTCTCTTCAATGCATTCAATTTGAGCTTATTAGATGACATTTTGCTTAGCTCGACACTGAAATTCAGTCTTTTTGGCTGCCCCATGCGTCTGAAGGCATTTTTCCCAGAGTTATCTAAAACCACCACACCATTTTTGGGTTGCACCGTCTGTTTCAAAGGGACTGGATTCTTCTTAGGGGTGTACCGCTTCTTGTCACTAGCAGATGCACATGCCAGGATGTGTTTGTGTAGCTCAGGCATGTTATCAACACCTTTTCCACATTTTGTGCAGCGAATGGCAGTAGTAAAAGTCTGTGGAATATTGTGCGTGGTGAAATTTGTGGCTGTCACACCAATTCCCATCGGGTTCCGGTGATGGTACTGAAATGGAGGCGGTTTAAAGCTTGGGTAATGCTGGTTGAGACCCAATCGAACATCTGGATCTTTTGTTTTTACTCCAGAAGCCATTATTTTTATGGTCGTGTAAAGCTCTTCGGAGGAATCATTTAACTCCTCTTCTTCTTTAGATGTTTCTGAAGGATCTTCTGGTAAACTCTGCATGTGCTCAGCATGGGCCTTGCTCGGGTCTGTGAAGTTCTGGGGCCTGAGGGTCCCAGTCTCAAACTCATGGTGTGTGCACACCTTATCTGGATGGAGATCTCGCTGGTGCTGCTGCAAATTGCACAAAAAAGCAAATTCTTTTTTACAAACTGAACACACAAAGATATTCCCAACTCCATGAAGCATAAAGCGATGTTCTGACAAATCAGTTTTATCCTTAAACAGCTGCACACAGAATTCACATTTGAAGGGCCATTCTTCAGCATGAATAGATAAATGTTTGGTTAAGTCTTTAATAGAAAGAAAAGGTGATTCACAGACATTGCAAACAAAATTTTTGTTGAATGTTTCCTGAACAACATCCTGTTCAACTGAAGACTGGGGCTCTTCCCTGGGTTTCAGATCTTCATTCTCTAACTCTTCCTGTTTGAAAGATATCATGGGGAGCGAAACTTCCAGATTATCACCAGAGGAAACAACGGATGATACCGCTGAGAGAGGAGGTGGTGAAGGGGAAGAGGAGGAAGAAGAGGAGGAGAAGGAAGATGAGGAAGATGATGAGGAAGAAGAGGAAGAAAGTGTTGGAGGCCCAGGTGATGCAGCAGACGTGAGCGGTTCAACAGAATGGATGGGAGATGGAGAGGGAGACACTGTAGGTGAAAGAACTGGAAGTGGAGACTGTGCGGCAGCATTCGAGAGGGGAGAGGGGCAAGGATGAGGAGATGCATCAGATGAGGGGGCTGGGAGAGGTAACGGAATCGTAGGAAGGAGTGGAGGGGGTGGTGTGGCAACAGTTAAGACTGGAGGACAGCGTGGAGGGGAAGAGGGATTTGTTGGGATCAAAAGAGGAGGCAGCTGACCAGAAGAGAGGGAAGATGTCTGCAGTGCAGGTGATGAAGGAGAAACATCAGGTGGGGACTCAACAGTAGGGGCAGATAAACTAGAGTGGGGACCAAGGTCAGGATCTGGTTGAGGCTCTAGTGATTTACAAGGACTTGGGCTCCTGGTCACATCTGCAGCATTTTCTACAGGTAAATCGATGCCATTGTATTCATTGAGAAGAACTTTCTGTAGCATGCAGGTGGTTGGTTTCTTTTTCTTCACAGCACTACAGGCTGGCGGCACCAAATGGTTCTCTTTGAATTCTTTGCCTTCAGAGTCACTGCAGGGCTTTTTATGGACGCTGAGATCTAATACAGATTCCCACTGGACGGGAGTCTTGCCTACACCCTCAGCCTTCTGTTTTACACCACTGGATAAATCCAGTGGCTGTTGGTTGCATACATTACTAAAAGTAGAACTGGCTGCCCATTCTTTAGATATTTTATACTCATCGAAGCACGGAGGGCTCACAGTTTCTCTCTCATCCCTCCCAGACAAACTCCAGGCTGGGGAGTTGCTATGACTTTCCATTTTGGGTTTTTTAGAACTCAGGACAGGCTCAGTCCACACTGCTTTACCATCGCTTTGCTTCCCAAAGTCTCGAAGGGCAGGACTGTGTTGTGGAGAACTGGGAGGAGAGCTGGTCCGCCGCTTAAACCTACTTGAACTCACAGGTAACATTGACGCAGGAGCGGACACAGGAGGAGGACCCAGTTTAGGCATCTCAGTTGCTGAAATCCCTGCAGGAGAAGTTAGTTTTTCCTGGGTTTGAAGAAGTTGTTTGAGCTTTGATGACAAATAAACACTTTTTTCTTTATGAAAAGACACTGCTTCTGTAGCTGATATGCTAAGAGGCAGACTTACGGAGCACGAGGGTGCTACAGGGTCTGAATCCGTTTCAGCTTTAATTTTGGGTAAGAGAGGTGGACTGGTAGTTCTTCGTTTCTTAGACTCCCTGTTCGTGCTGCTGGAAGGCTCTTTAGGGAGATCGTCCGTCACAGGGACCGGAGTAGTCTGTATGTTCTGGGTAATTTCCACTGTCACTGGAGTAAGCAGACAGTTTATGCCATACAAGTCAGCCGAATTAGATTCCATCTCAATCACATCACAATTACTAGTGCTGCTGTTAGTCTGAATTTTACCATCGATATAGTAATTTAGGTTTTCAGAGATATTGCTAGAAATATCCATGATGTACACGTCATCTGCTTCCCCTTCCTCCTCAGGCTCTGTGCTTGGTACGTAGACATTCTGGGTGGGCTGGGCCTGCTCTGCTGGAGGTTGGGGCTCTTCCAGGAGGCCTCCTTTTCGCCGCACACCTTTGGGAATCAGATGACGCTCATGAACTCTACGCTGATGCCGTCTCATATTAGTATGAGTTCCAAAAACTTTTTTACAGTATTTGCATGGATGAAGTTCTTTAACTTCCCCATTCTCTTCTACAACAGTAGAATTTACTGCTTCTTGGGAAGCTTTCTCTGAATTCAAGATCAGAGAGTTCTGCCCAAGATTGGGAGGATTTGATTCATCTTGAGGAGTAACATTATCTCCAGATACTTTACCATCAGTGAGGTCTTCTGACGGCTGTAGTGTTAGGCTGGGCTTTCGCTTTAACCCTGTTTCATGGCGACGCTCATGCCTCCTCCTGTTAATTTGTGTGCCAAACGCTTTCCCACAGTACTTGCATTTGAACGCATGATTGACTGTAGATATATGGATATGCATGTGACGTTCAAGCCCCTGTTTGGTTGTAAACTTTCGCTCACAATGCTGACATGGAAACATAAATGTTTCAAATACATCACCATTGGGTTCTCCTTTAGTTTTAGGAATTCTGATAACAGGTGTTACCTCTGGAGAATCTTCAAGACTTTCTCTTGAAATATGTTTTGGTTCTTCTAATAAATCTTCTAACTTCTCATCACACCGTATTTCTGGCTCTTTCACAGAACTTTCATTTGGCATGTCAGCTTCTTCCTCCCCCTCTTCTTCCAACTCATCATCTTCATCATCATCTTCCTCCTCCTCTTCATCTTCCAAATCATTCACCTCACAATTCGTTGCTTCTACTTTCTCGTCTGGTTCTGTTTGTGGCTCACAGACAGCGGAAGGGACTGCTAATTCTGGAAGTACATCCTGACTAACCACCTCCTGAAGAACATCTGTCTGTTCAGCTGCTGAAGCTGAAGGCTTCTCTTCCTCTTCTTTAGGGCCTAGGAAAACAGAAGCATGGAAGTGAGGGCAAAAACTAGCCATCTGGTGACTAATTATTCAAATTACTTCTATTAGCATTTAAAATGTGTAAGGGAGATTATGATTGACAATAAATAACTTCTACTTTCTTACTTATAAAGTTGTAATTAATCCATTTTCATCATTCATTCATAAAACAAACATGTCTAGAGCACCTCCTATGCACCAGGCAACATTCTGGGCAGTGAGGAGACACATGAACCACAGAGACAACAATGCCTACCTGGAGCTTAGGCACTTTTCTGTGTTTAGCTACTCACATATAAACACCTCTTAGAAACTGTAGCGCTTCAAACTATACTGGAGTAGTTGATATTAAATTTCAGGAGACTAGCTGTGAATTCCCATTCCTCATGATTCCAAAATGAAACAAGGAAATTGATAAACATATTATCAGCTTAGATTCTTAGTAGTCTGTCCTGAATGGAATGATCCTCCCCCTCCTTCCTGATTAAAACCATTATGTAGAATATTTTCCAGAATCATGTGATCAGAATTGTTTCAAGTAAAAGAAATCTCAGAGATCATCTCTTCTAAGCCCCATGAAATTCTTAAAGAGTACTCAGCAAAGGAAACAAAAAAATAGAAATCCAAAGTCACTTCTGGGTCTCTATGCTCAGGAGGAAGCCAGTCTAGCATAATCTGAAGAAGATGATAGGCAGGTGGTCAGGGAATGCCTCACTATAAGGGCACAGGTGAGCAAAGACCTAAAAGAAATGAGCCAAGCAAGTATCTGGGGTAGAGAAGCCCTCTGGACAGAGGAAACAGCAAGTGCAAAAGCTCTCAATTAACAATGTGCTAGATGTGTCCAAGAAATAGCAGAGAGAGAAAGGCTCAAGTGTGGGAGGAAGCGGAGAGCAGATGAGACCAGGGAAGTGGCCAGGAGCCAGCTCACAAAGGATCTTGTAGGTTGTTGGCCTTAATTCTAAGTGAAACAGGGGACTGCTGGTAAGTTTTAATAGAACTATGTATGATCTGACTTATATTCAAGAGAATCATCCTATCTACTATGAGGAAGGTAGACAACTCCAGGTAGGCAAGGATGGAAGCAGGTCAACACAGAGCCGACTACATCCTATAGAAAGGTGTGGCAGCTGAGACTAAGGTGGCAGGGATGGAGGTGGTGGGAAATGGTCAGACTCTGAATATATTTTAAAAGTCAAGCCGACAAGATGTGCTTACTGACTGGCTGTGATGAGAGAAGAGAAGCATCAGGGAGGATTCCATACCAACTGCAGTAACTCTATTTACTAAACCACAAAAGAATGCGGTGTGTGCATGTGTGCACGTGTGTGTTGGGAGGGAATCAAAAGTTTACACGAGGCACGCTGAAGTTTGAGGTACACAATTAGACTTCCAAGTGAAGACGTTAAACAATGTCACATGAATCTTGAGTTCAACAAAGACGCTGAGCCTAAAAATGACAAAGTCTGGTCCTCAGTGTACAGACAGTGTTTAAAGCTTGGGACCAAACTATGCCACCCTGAGAGTGGAATGCAGACCGAAGAGAGACAGGAGGACTGTGGCCTGGATGACTCCAAGTTGGCGGAATCGCCAGTGAGGTATCAGCGAACTAAGAGGGGGTGGTCCGTGGGCTAAGTAAAGAAAGGGTTTCCAGGAGGAAGCAATCAGCTATGTTAAGAACCACCGATGGGTTAAGTGAGATGAGGACTAAGAACTGAACATCTGATTTAACAATGAAAAGGTCCGGTTATTGCCGACAACAGTTTTAGTGGAGCCGTGTGGACAAAGGCTAACTGGATTCATAAGAGAATGGAAAGAGGAGGGAGAGGCAGGAAAACTATGAGCAACTACTTCACATTTTGCTATAAAGGAAGGGGGAGAAATGGGGTAATAGCTGGAAGGACAAATGGGTTCAGCAGGGACTCTTAAAGATAGGAGCTAGTATAGTACACTGAACGCTGATGGAGATGGCCCACCGTGCTGCTTTCTCTACAGTATTAATTGATAACTTTGTTGAATAGGCCTCTTTTGCTGTAGACATATGAAGAGTTCATTAAGAAGGGCCCTCTAGAGGAGACAGGGCTACTATGACTTCTCCAGGCTACGTGAATTGGCTATTTCCCCGTTCACCTGACAAGTATTTACTGAGCACCACTATATGCCAGTGCCGTTGAAAAAGACTGCCAAGATCCCTGTCTTTGCAGAGTTTCAGCTTAGTAGGAACTACACACAAGTAAACAGGCAACAATGTTGTAATAAAGATCACTGCTATGCTAGCAGAAGTATGTGCTGCTGCAGATGCACACAGGAGGAGCATGGTTCATCAGGGAAGGATTCTTAGCAAAGCACTGAGCAGGCTTAACCCAAAGGATAAAAAAGAGTGCGTAGAAAAGAAGAGGAAGCAGGGAGGTATCAAAACGCGTAGGGTATTAGTTTGGACTTATATGGGAACAATGGGGTCCATTAAAAGTATTTTAAAGCAAGACAGTGCTATTTGACTACATGTGGATTAAGTGATTGGGAGAAGGACATTACTGGAGACAGAAGACCAATACTGACAAAGCGGTACTAGAACAGAGGAAACGAAGGCTGCCTGTACTAAGATGTGGAAATGGAAAGCAGCAGCAGAGGCAGAAAAAAGTGGCCAGATTGTTGAGAAATAAGAGAAGTTTGTTAATAGTCTTGGTGAACTTGCCTAGATACAGGGGAGATGGAGGGGTCAAAAGGTCAAATGTTCTAGCTCTGCAAATACAAGGTACTAATGTAAATACAATGATGAGCACCAGCCCTCTTGCTGGTTCCTAGGAATATCAGTCCTATTTTTTCCCATCTGCTATTATACTCACTAGCAATGAGGTTTCTGCTTCTAAACAGAAACCAGCCTTCTCTCCCCCCAGACAAATTTCATAAATTCCATGAGTTTTCCAAACTAGGAAATTAGTTCTTCGATGGTGGTAACGTATAGAGCTAGCTCCCTTTCAAATAAATTTTCAACAAAGACCCGGAGGTTGCCCAAGGAAAGATGAGATAACAGGAAATGAAAATAACATCTCCAAGGCTCAGAAATTTCTTCATGGAGTTCATTTTTAGCCAAAATGTGTGGCTTACTGGGATCAGGGAGGGGGCGGATCCTTTCCGTATGATTGGTAAACAATCCCAGATTTTAAACTGTCCAAAGTAATAAGAACAAAAATGTGCACAGCTCTATTTTAACTAATAAGGCCCACCTCAAAGTGTGTCTACACACTTGATGAGGTCTGTTGAGGCTTAAACATAAAGCAGCTTTGGGAAACATGAAGAAGCTGAACCACTTGCTCATTATATAGACCATTTGCTGAGGTCAATATGGAACACACAGGACAGGTCTACAACTGCGCTATACAGAACCATCACCTTGACCAGCTGTACTGCAAAAAGAATTGCAAATACCTATTTTAATGGGATCTAATGTTATATCAAGAAAAAAATAATTGTTTCGTATGATGGGGGGGGCCATTGTAATTTTTTTTTTTTTTTAATTCTGCCACCAAAGGTAGAAAGGTTCTTTAGTAATTTTTGTTGTTGTTCAAACAAATGTCTTAGCAAACCTTCTGTTGTAAGCAGGCAGATTTAGTTTTATAAGGCTCTGGGAAATAAACACTTGGCTGCTAACCGAAAGGTCAGCGGTTCGGACCCACAAGCTGCTGTGCAGAGTAAGGTGGGGCAGTCTGTTTCCGTAAAGATTTATAGCCTTGGAAACACTATGGGGCAGTTCTACTCTGTCCTATGGGGTCGCTATGAGTCAGAATAAACTCGACGACAATGAGTTTGGGTTTTTTTGGTTTATTCTTGCTTCATAAAGTGGGACAGAAAATGACAATCCTTTGTGCATGTCATCACCACAAACAGCGCGCTAATCAAACGACTATAAAAAGTATTTTGTGGCTTTTTTCCCTCTACAAACGTTTCATGAAAGAGTTACAAGGCTATAATTTGAAATTTGCCTAGGTAGGTCACTATGAACAACTCCTGAGCAAGCTTCAGTCTGCCTAAACTTACCACATAACAAATTAAGACACACTTCCCTTGCTTCTAATCGTATCAATAGTCTCAATATGGGGCTCAACTGCATTGAACATAGTCTGTATTTCTGATTAAATTTCAATTCATGCCTCACTGTGAATTCTTACATCATGGAAGGCCTAGAATATTAATCCTTAGAAACGATTATAAAGAAAAAAAATTGTGGGGAGAAACACAAAGAGATGGAGTAAGAATTTAAATTCCAACAAAACGTAGAAACATTTTTCATCCTGACAAATAAAATAAAAAATGTTTTGATATTTTAAGTAAATTTTTAACCTAAGTGTAAAGCAGACATAAGGAGCCCTGGTGGTGCAATGGTTAAGTGCTCAGCTGATAACCAGAAGGTTGGCAGTTTGAACCCACCCAGAGCTTCCGAGGGGAAAAAGATCTGGCAATCTGTTCCCATAAAGATTACAGCCTAGGAAACCCTACAGGGCAGTTCTACTCATCATACAGGGTCACTATGAGTCGGAGTTGCCTCAATGGCACACAACAACAAAGCATACACACATTAAAGCGTATAAATGATAAGTATACATAGTGAGATTAAATTTTTATGTGCCCATCCCAGACCAATGATGGAACATTACCAGCACCCCAAAAATCTGCCTTGTGTCATGCCAGTCTGACTTCCATCGCTATAGGTTTATTCTGAACTTTATATTACACCCACTCCTCACTTATCAACATGGTTAGGTTCCAAAGACACGGCTATTAATGTGAAAATAGGCGTTATGACTACAGCATTATGTAACTGCCGAATTACATCATTACATAACTGCCAAACCACTGAGAATCATGGCCCAACCAAGATGACAAATAACCTTAACCATCACAGCTAGCATTATTCTCACCTCGCACCTTGGCGTTTGTTACTGCCAGACATACGTCGGACAGTAGATTTTTTACTAACGTCGTAAATGCGGTATGTCAGATAACGATACAGTTGATAAGTGAGGAGTAGGCAGTATTTATAAATGTAATCATACGGTAGGTTTCACTTTATTTTAACAAGAGAGTAATTTCATTTTTAACAAGAGAAGTCTTAAATATAATTTTTTGAAGGGGAGATAAGATGGGAAAGGCTCAGTTTACCATATTAAATTTAGGTGATTATTTTATTGTTAAACCCTTTATAGTTCTTGGATGATTCTAAAAAGGGCCATACAAAGAGATACAAAGTAATTTTATCTGGCAACACATACCCAAACCCTCCAAGTCCAACAGGCCCAGCTTACCTTCTGCAGAATCTCTCATATTTGCAGGGGTGGAATCTGGCTCACTGGTCTTCAGCTTTATGTCTTCTGTTTTGTTTCCTTTGCTTTTATTTTCCTGGGATTTTTTCTTCCCTGAAACACAATATTTATTCATTCATTCATTCATTCATTCATCCATTCTGTCATTCACTATTATCCTGAATTCTCGAAGGAGATAATTATTAATCCAATCACAGCAAACCAAATATTTCTATGCAACTATCACTTCAAACCTACAGCTATCAAACTTCAGCTACAGATAACATGGTTTAGAAGAGTTAACAATATTGATGTCAATGAAAAATCGGGCATAATAACACTGAATTCAGTTCTACACAAATAATAAGGATGTGGCAGAAGTCTGGTTATTTGTAAGAAACATGTTCAGTCCTTTTAGTTAAGATATGATTATCCATAACTGTCAAAGCAAAACAACAGAAGCAGAGATTCCACTGTATTGCAAGAGACACACATGCACGATGGCTCCACTATCAAATGCTGAGTAATCATGAATAATTCATGGTCAGCCTACATGGCACTCCAACAGACCTGTGGGATTTCACTCTAGGTCCAGTACAATTCAATATTTCATTAACAATTCGGAGGATGGAATTCATGAAATACTAACTGTATTCCAAGTGATATCATACTTTAGCAGATAAGATTAAAATGCAACATATTTCTGATAAGCTGGAACAATGAACTAAAATCATCTGATACTCAATAAAGAAACAATTCTCTATAGTAGAACAAACAGTGAAGGTTCAAAGGCTCAGTCTCTTTGGGATTGAACTACTAAATTCACTACTACTGAATTCTAAACTTCCTTTTTTCTGGTAGCCTGTGTTTTTCAGTTTTCAGACTCATAACAAGTTCCTATTTATCTTCGGCTAAAGCTTCCTTCTCTTTCTGCAATGCTGTCCCCAACCTGACCTCTCAGAGTTCCCGCAACTGCCCCCTACCCTTCCAGAACAAGCTTCTTGCCACCTTTACCTCTGAAGTAGTAAAATAGCAAACAAGAAACCAGTCATAGCTTCTGGACCACATGGAAAATTATATTCTCCTTAACAGAAACACTACAGAGGCATACAATTAACTAAAATATAGGCAAGAGATGAAAATGAGGTCATAGACACAAAATACTATTGAAAAAATAATGATTAAAAGTGGAAACATCAATTCCAATTCAAAGCAAGTAATAATCCTAAAAACATCTCCAGATTTTGATAAGCCTGTAAGAGATTTAACAAGAAAAAGAAAAGTACAAAATACTTAATCATTTAGTTTGTTAGTTTTAAAAAGCAAACAAATTCAAAAATATTTTAAAACACTAATTCTTCAGGCTGTAAGAAAACAGAAGATTTTTTTGTAACTAACTACATAAGGGTTCACTCAAATTCACGACAGCATATTTATCAGTTCATTTCAAAGGCAGTTAAGATGGAACTCACAACTCAGGGTACATTTCACTGATGGGAACAGAAATCGAAGGTCTGTATGGACATGGCAGATTCCTGCCTCCAGGTGGAAGACTTATAAACCAATACCCTCTGCAAGGGGCCCAAACATAAAAACACCTTTTCACAATGGAAAGTGAAGAGCGCTTGAAGCACTTAACTGAAGTAGGGCAAAGACTACAGCTTTCAGAACGGATTACACCTCAACATAAAGAAAACAAAAATCCTCACAACTGGACCAATAAGTAACATCATGATACATGGAAACAAGACTGAAGTTGTCAAGGATTTCATTTTACTTGGATCCACAATCAATGTCCATGGAAGCAGCAGTCAAGAAATCAAACTACGTACTGCTTCGGGCAAATCTGCTGCAAAAGACCTCTTTCCAGTGTTAAAAAACAAAGATGTCACTTTGAGGACTAAGGTGCACCTGACCCAAGCCATGGTATTTTCAGTCACCTAATACGCATACGAAAGCTGCACAACGAATAAGGAAGACGGAAAAAGAACTGACACCTTTCAATTATGGTGTTGGCAAAGAATACTGAGGCAAAGAATACTGAATATATCATGGGCTACCAGAAGAACAAACAAATCCGTCTTGGAAGAAGCACAGCCAGAATGCTCCTTAGAAGCAGGGATGGCGAGACTTCGTCTCACGTACTTTGGAGGAGTACATCATGGAAGTAACCTGGAGAAGGACATCACGCTTGGTAGAGCAGAGGGTCAGCAAAAGAGAGGAAGAAGACCCTCAACGAGATGGACTGACACAGTGGCTGCAACAATAGATTCAAACATAACAATGATTGTGAAGATGGCGCAGGACTGGGCAGTGTTTTGTTCTGTTGTACAGGGAGTTGCTATGAGTCAGAGTTGACTGGACAGTACCTAATGACAACAATCGTCTCTTGTAATTCTTTCTTCCTTTGTCAACTTAACAGCACTTAGTCTAATCTGATGATGACAAACGGTCTTGAGGAACGCCATTGAGCTTAAGGGAATTTGGATTCTACTTCTTTCAACGAGTTTTCTTATCCCCAGAATAACATTCACCCTTCCCTGTGTGTGTGATGCTCAGTCCATATCAGACTGCTGATACCTAACAAAATGCCTTATCACCCACACACACACAATGCAAATATAAATGATCACCTGTCTACATAACTGCTCTAGTGCTGCAGCTGATGTTTGAGGCAATCCATGGATTCTTTTATTCCCATGTAAAGGGCTCCTAGCACAGCACTCAGACACTTAATTCAAGTTCTATTCAGATAATCTTCTTCCCGAGCTAAAACCACAAAATGTTTATAAGACATCAGTAGCACCACTTAGGTACCCCAAACAAGCCAAGCAACGTGACCTTTCCTTACTGAGCACTTACTTTATACTTTGTAGAAGTATAATCTTTTAAAATAAATAACAATGAAGAGATACAGCCTAAACCTCACCTCTTATGCATAAATCTTACATACGTTAAAAAAAAAGACAAGTTACATGGTAAAATTTAATAGAAAAAAATGTCAATTTGTTGTAATATAATCTCTTGCAAATGCAATTTCAAATGGGTAAGAAGTTTTTTTTTTGGCAACCTCTCAAGCACTATATGAGCTCAGGTTGCAGGTTGTACCAAAAAAAAAAAAAAAAAAGTAAACCGGCCTGTATCATGTAAATAGCATATTGAATAAATGGGGGAGATTTCTAGAGTTCTATTTCAATAAAGTAAAGCACAGCTTTAATAATATCATTAAGATGCACTTAAAATGGAATCACATTATCTAAAAGGTAAAAGTATTATTTTAAGCTTTATTCCCTGCCTAAAAGAGTATTAGAATAACCAGCTGATACAGAATGTCAAACGTCCACTATAGGACTCCCCAAACCTAATCAGTGAGTTTATTTTCCCTAGGTACCCTCTTTGAAAGCCATGACCATGGATACCTGCTCCAGTGTGAGCAGAGAAGCCACCTGTGGCAGGTACATCTTTTGTATTCTCATCAGAGGACTAACGAGAATCCAGTCACAGCTCCCAGGGACCAGGTAATTCTCTGGTGTAGGGGGCTGTCCTGCGCACTGTAAAAAGCTTAGCAGCATCCCTGGCCTCTACCCACCAGATGCCAGTAGCAAACTTCCCGCCCCCCCCACCCATTTTTGACAACCAAAAGTCTCCAGACATTGCCAAGTGTCCTCCGTGGGGGCAAAATCTCTCTGGGTTGAGAACCACTAAACTACACCAATATATTTGTAGGTCACTAAAAACACACTGGACTCTGCGGTCTACATTTTTATTAATTAAAAATTACAAAAAGTACTCAAATAATACTGATAAAGCCAATTCTAATAAGTGGGGGATGGAACCATTAAATTTACCTCCAAAGTAACTTTGATGAACCCTGACAGACTTAGCTTACAATGGAACTGAGTTTATCATGAATCTAACCATCATTCATTCAAGGAATTGAGATTATCTGGCACATGAAACAATTTCCTCAATCTTATCTAGAAGCATCTAATACTCAAGTTACTGCCCATGAGGCCCTTACACTGGCGATGAAAGGAGCTGTCGAAATCACCTGTCTTAACTGCTCATTTTGCAGGAGACACTGAAGGCCAGCGTCACAGAGACACTTGTCCAAGCTCAGCCAGTCTGACAGAACAGAGATTAGAACCTGTGAGTCCTACACCTATATATGCTTGGCATCTCTCACAAAGCCAAATACTGCAGCAAGTGGTTTAACCTACTGTATTTCCTTAAATCAGCAATTTTTCTTCCCTGATACTTGGTTTCTGTTCTGTATATAATCAAATTAAAAGAAAAACCAAAAGCAAGCCTGTAACGACTTCTAAAGGGGGAGAGAGGACTTGTCAGTTTCTGAGGCAAGAGATGCCTCAAGAACTGGGAGGGCAGAGAACCCATTGGGAGCCTGATAAGTACACATGTGCACTTACCATCAGGTTCCTGAAGGGTCCTACATGGCGGCTACTGCCGGCTGGGTGCTCCACTTGGTCTAAATAAGAAAGATACAGGAATGAAACACAAGGAAAGTGAAATGGAAACAATGACAAAGAATACAATGAAGGACAGGACAAAATTATATGTATGTAAGGAAAAGAAAGGTACACATAAAGATGAAGAAAGCTGAATGAAACAGAAGGAAAACAGCAGTTATCTACTTCATCAAGCTTCTTACGAAAAAAATTAACCTTAAACTTTGTACGTAGTTGTGGATATTAAGATCAATTTACTATACTTATTTTCTGGCCTGTGCCATGCCCAGGTTGTAAAACTGATGCCCTTACCACTCAGGTCCCACTCTGCTTGTATTCATGAGGCTTCTCTAGAAGGTCCTAGAGTTCCAATCCACGCCTCTCATTTTACAGACGAGACACCACACAACCAGAGATGTGAAGCAATCTGCCCAGGACCACACAACTGAATTAGCTCCAGAGCCAGAAGGAAAACCCAGGGATGATAACGCTATGCTCAATGCTCTTTTTACTACATTTCTTTCTTAGGACCAATAATGGTTTTAATACAAATACCTTATTTATTTATTTATTTTTACAAAGCATTTTATATCCATTACTACACTTGGTTTCAAATGAAAGAAGAGTGGTATAAAGACTTCAACTGCATTTATAGTAAAGAAACAATAATCAAATTGGAATGCAGATTTTCCCCCTTCGAGTTTCTCTTAAGCCAGAAATGAGTCCTATCAGTCAACAGCACAGAATGAGCAGATATGATTCACCACCAAATAACATCAATAAAATTGGATTTTCTAGTAAAAGAGCTGCCATATAGAGAAATCCAACAGCCATAATGACTACTTCTTAAGACAATCTGTAGCACTATACCTCTGGTGCCTGGCAAGTTACAGAACCAAAACTGCCTAAAGCATCACATGAATAATTTAATGTAGGTATGGACTCTGTTCTACTATTCCAATAAAATGGACAAACACTAACAAATTCTAGAGAATAATGCATCATTTAAAAATGTTCAGGCAGCAGACAGAATGCAAAATTCTAGAAGGCTTGCTCAAGTTACATTAAAAATTCATCACAACAGTGAAGGCTCATCCATTTGGTGATTTAAATGAATTAAATTTAGAATTATATATATGTAACTCTACATGTGCTGCCTCCTCACTGGGGAGATGGCCAACTCTGAAGAATAAAGTCAGAATTAAATATCATGCACAGAAACCACGCATACGCAGTCTTTGTTTGGAAAGCTCACCATCTTACTCATACCAGATATACAGTTGGTGCCAAACCAGTTGACATTTCACCTGTGAGACTTCTACCATCATACCTTGAAAGGTTATCAAGGGCCTTGGCGACCCTGAACAAGGATTAACAGCCACTCCCCTAAGGGTAGGTTGTGCCTGCTGCCTCCAGTTCCTCACCACTCACTCAGCCCTTAATCCATCCTCGCCATTCTAGCAGAGCTCCATTTTCCACAGATACCACTCCTTATCTCAGAATTACAGAATCCAAGTTCTCCAGGCTTTATTTGCCTCAAGTTTCTCCTTAGCATTTGATGGATCTTTCATTCTTAAAGTTCCCTTTCCCCAGCATTGTGACACTACCATCTAGAACCTCCAACTTTCCCGACCATTCTTTCTGAATCTTCCTCTTCATCCTGGCCCCTAAGTGAGTGTCTCCCATAGAAACTCTGAAGGTTGGAACCATGTTTCCATATGAAGTTGAAGAAAGGCTTCAACTGAAGCATTCAGCTCAATCATGGGGATGGTGCAGGACCAGGCAGCATTTCATTCCGTTGTGCACGGGATCGCCATGATTCAGAAGTCACCATGAGTCGAGGGCCAACTCGATGGCAGCTAACAACAGCAAAGAATTCAGCAAAGCTGAAGGTACAGACTCTTTAAAGAATAGAACAGACATGGAATAGTGAGATTCACTGGTTAAATTAAAAGGTAAGAGAGAACAGAACCACAAGACTTCGTATCAGAAAGAACCTTAAAGATCGTCTAGTCTGCTTCCCAAGCTTTGTGAATACAACTCTTGAAGCTTTATCTCACTGAATGAATTGCCTAAAATCTCACAGCAAGTTATTAGCAAAACTGGGCCTTTTATTCCCATCCAATTCACTACTCTTTCCATTGTGTTCTAACAGCCTTGTTAGTGCACTTTCTGGGTTCTAATTTCTCTCTTAAACAAGAAAACTGATGACAACGGCACCTGCACTTCAGGCAAGTTTGAGAAATTCATTCAAAGCATATAAATTCATTATACATCTTTTTAAATTTTTTTAAAGGCAAGGGTGTCTTTCCTGACAGGAGGCCAGTGCTGGCACCTAATGTTAGCACTCAGGACATGTGGTTTAGAGCTAAGCTAGGGGTCCAAAAGTAAGACAAAAAGGCTTAACTGAAGAAAAAGCATAAGGTTCATCTTAAATGATCTTTCATAGGATTAAAAAAAAAAGACCATGTCAGTAAGAGAGGGAATCAATGGATAATAGCAAAGTTATGAGCTTTTAAAAAATGGCCAAAATGATGCTATCAATTAACAGTCCTAGGTGAAATGGCAAGGGTGTTGAGAATTAGATCTCAGCTGTGTTTGATATTTGGTAGTGGTGTGACATTCTGCACTGTGATGAGTAGCGAGAAGGAGAGAAACTGGAAACGGATATATAAAGCTACGTTTTCCACAAAGAATTGAGAGTCCATTTCAATGTCCTTAATACATGCTTAAAAAAAAAAAGATAATGCCTTGGGCGCACTGAAGGTTATCACAAGTCACCAACAGGAGAAGCAGTAAGGCTGGGGCCATAAGACTCAGGGACTTTATGCCATAAGCATATATGATCAACGTATTACACACAGGGGATGTGTTCATCAGATGATCAGAAGGTTTATGCAACTGGCCAAGGTAAGATCAGTGGAAAATAAGCAACCCTGTGGGTCTGGTGTTTGAAGGAGAGAAGTTTGAAGCAGTAAGATGCTGTAACCGTTGTTTTTATGAAAGTAATATGATATATATTTCTATAAGTTTCTTTTTTACTTAAAATAATTTCTAAATTTATCTAATACTAAAAAATTCTGTTAAGCTCCTATTCACTGTAGGCATAATTTCAAATCTTTTTCTGCAGTTAAACTCATCAAGGGCTGTCTATAATCCTGGAGGTAAATTATTAAAACAAACTCTCTGATTTTAAGTTGCTCATGGTATTAAAGCAGGGCTCTAGGCTCTGCCTCCAACAGAAACAATGGAAAAGTTCTGGCTTTTTCAGTTCTGCAGCTCAGAGTATAAATTCCTGAAATACTTGTTTCCATGGTGCGGGGGGGGGGTTACATGACCTTCGCCACAGTGGAGGCTTCAGGCTACCAGACTTTTCCAAATGTCAGGTTGATGGGAGAAGAGTAAAGGGCACATCTGAAGGAGACTACACTCTGACTTTGTCTAACAAGGCTTTTAGCGGCTTTGACTGGATAATTTCAAGTACCAGAAAGGGCAACTCAACTACAGCAAATTCAAACCAAGAAAGCAGTAAGTTTCCTTACACTCTCTTTGGAACCTCAAAAAGTCTTGTGACGTGAACAAAACCATTTTAGAGACTAACTAAATACCCCAGAAACTTAAGCTGCTAGCCTGTTCTATTTCATAGTTTTCTTTAATTTCTAGGGTTCTTCTAAGGGTCTTTCAGTAGCCTTTACTTTACAGGGGAGAAAATGTTATTATCTAGACTCTGAAGACCTTACGTGTAAAAAGTGACGAGGCCGCTACAAAGTAAAGAACTCAATCCCAGTTCAGGTCTCAACCCCTGTGGCCAAATAAACCAGGCCAGGAAGCTGTACGGAGGCAGAGGTGGCAGGTTACAAGTGCCTGGCAACCCCTACAACAGAAGGGACAGCCACACTCTCGAGAATTAGTTATTCTCAGCTAAAAGGAAAGGGCTTTCAAAGGCCCTGATATATCTTACAATACTATACCCTCACATAAATTAACTATAAAATTTAATTTAAAAAGATTTTCAGGGAGTAAAATCTAGACATAAATCAGAGACATGATACAATTATAACACTTAAAATGCATTTTTTACATTTGCTTACAGAACTGTCCATAGGAATGATGGTCAAGTCATATCACTGATAAAAATCAGGCTACCATGTATCCACAGAAGTAAACTTTCCAGAAAACTGAGAGGACAGACACCAAAACTGAGAGGACAGACACCAAAACTGAGAGGACAGACACTAAAATACTGGCAGGTGGCTCTCAGTGATGAGATTATGGGTAGGGGCTGATAGTTTTTCCTATCTGTATTTTCTGATTTTTCTAGGCTACATTTTACTTTTGGCTACATTACACAACAAATGATTTTTTTTTTAAAGAAATACCTACAAAAGCAAAATTAATGAGACAACTTAAAATGTTTCAAATTGGTTGAGATTCACTGCTGTTGTTAGGTGCTGTCCAGTCCATTCCAACTCACAGTGACCCCATGTGACAGAAAAGAGCTGCCCTATAGGGTTTTCTAGGCTGTAGTTTTTAGGGGAACAAATTGTCAGGTCTTTCTCCCGAGGAGCTGCTGGGTGGGTTTGAACCACCAATCAAACCTCTGAGTAGCTGAGTGCTTAACCGGTGCATTAACAGGGCCAACATATGCAATTTTATAACAGTTCAATTTGGAAAAAGCCTCAACTTTCTACTCCGCCTGCACAGCAAAAAGTACTGAAGTGCTTCTCTGCTCTCCATCTACCTGTGTACCCTAGTATAACTGCCCCAGAAAAAACCACTATGCCAGAAACATCATACAAATACAGTTACAAAGATCTAAGACTTTTAAAAACATTCAGAACAGAGAATATTAAATAGTCAAAACTTCTTAGGCATTGAAATAACCACCCTTAACCTTTTGGTGTCTATTCTTCAAATTTACATATGCATCGCATTACTTAAAAAAAAAACATTAATCTGTCTCTTCTTTTCAAACAGCCATACATCTTTTTATCGCTTTTTTGTTTCATTGCACTTGGTTGTTAAATCCATCAAAATTTAAATCAAATATCTAATTTAAACAATCATGTGGACTGCCTACTGGGTATAGAGAAGTTTCTTAGCTACTAAGCTGGGGGTCAATGTTTTGGCAGTCAATTGTGACACTTATGACAGTATTGTTAACTAGCTTTTATTTTCCTTCTCCTAAAAATGCAGAAATTAGGCAAGGGCATTTGAATATACCACATTTGGGAAAAGGTAAAAAAAAAAAAAAAAAAAATTAGCTTATAAAAGAGAATTTACAAAAATACTAAACTATCTTATCATTGGACCTCCTATGACGTGACGCATTTTTATTCCAGTATAATATTTAAGACTCTTCTCCTCATCACAGTTGCTAGATGATCTGATCTCACCTCTGTGAAGACCTCAACTGTCTTCCAGCCCCTCCTGCCTACAGATGTGCCTCCATCAGAGCCTGGGATGACACATCACTCCAAATGGTAAGAACTTGGTCTAGAGGCACCCACAGGGGCTAGCATAAATCCTTCCACTCCAACCAACTCAAAACTGCCAAGTCTGTCTTTCAAATTCCAGGAGCAGAGAAGGAACTAAAATGTGCTCTCCTCCTGAATTATTTATTTCTTAAATCACAAATAAGATTTAAATTCAATTCCAGGTTTTTCTAACAGATCTCCAACTAAAAACAAAATTCGAGTAGGCTATTTAACAACACATCTCATTTTCAGATATGCTGGCTTATATCAGACTAGTATTCGAACCTAGCTCAAGCTCATTATTCTTGCTAGATTCATTTTTTTTTTCTCTACATACTTTGTAAAGTTTCTGGAATAATGGTAGAGAGATGCACTTGGATAATTTTTCTTGGGTTCCTATTTTCAACAAGGCACTTTGTTTGGAGCTATAGGGAATACAAATACATTACTACAAAGATGTCTGCCCTGAAGAAATTTAAAACTGAAGCTATATGTCTGTTAAACTTTGTGAAAAGCAAGCCCCTTTGCAGAAAGGCCCTACTCACGTCAACAAGAAGCAAATTTTGAGTGAAGGGGTGTTCCAGAGAATGCATATTTTATCAAAAATAAAAGGGAATGGAGGCAATGAGGACTAAAGGAGGAAAGAGAAGAGAAGAGGAAGGAGGAACGCAGAAGGGGAGAAGGGAGGAGGGAGGGACCGCACATGATGTTAAGAGTCATCCAGTCAGGTCCATGGAGGAAGCTCAGGAAATAAACTCCCCGAGCCACAAGCAGTGCTCATTCAGGGAGCAGGCCCAGGCCCCAGCCTTTCCTAAATGGCCCCAGCCCTGAGCCTGTAGCCTTTTAGCATCACCAAATCTTACTCAATGCTTGTCTCCAAGGATCCTCCCACACTGTGAGTCAGGGCTTTTTCTATCTTTTGCCAATACAGAGGTAAACTAACACCCACAGGGAACAAATGGAGCCCAGGAGGAAGGACTCACAAAGGACTAAAAGGGTCCGGCATGTCCCCAGGGTCACACATCTTCCCAGCAAACAGGTGACCACAACTAAGGTGAGACACTAGACTGGGGTCTCCTCCCCTCCACCGTGTGGGTGTGGCACTCTGAATAAAGTACGTCCTCAAGACAAGTTTTGGTCCTTTAACGAAAGAAGCCCACAAAAGTGAAACAGCACGAAACTACATTGCATAGCGCTTGGGCCATGATTTGATTAACCCATTGCTGTCGAGTCAATTCCAATTCATAGCGACCCTATAGGACAGAGCAGAACTGCCCCAATAGGGTTTCCAAGAGCGACTGGTGGAATCGAACGGCAGATCCTTTGGTTAGCAGCCATAGTTCTTAACCACTGTGCCACCAGCGCTCCAATCCTGTTCAGGACAGATGGGAACCAACTATGATGCATACTGGTGATAACCAACTGATACCGTTTTCTGGAGGAGTATGAGATAACGTACAAAGAACTCTGCACACTGCCTGGCACAGACTCAATAAATGGAACCAATTGTAAGGATTATTCACAGTAGATTCTACTCAACAAATTACAGAAACCCCACACCTACAAAACTAAATTGGCAGCATATGTTCCTTCGTATGAAGACAATGACATTCTGCTTCCACTAACAATTCCTAATTCATCCATTTGTTTAGATCATTTGTTCTACACTGGTTCACACAATCCCACCCAGATATTCTGGAAACGTACAAATGCAATATGGACAGAAGTTTAACTGAGTGAAGAGAAAATTCTGTCAAACGCTAACTAACGTCCCCATCGATATGATTTAACAGTATAAACTGTGAGACTATTTCACTTTTTAAGTCTGTAACCCACTGATTTTACTGATGCTAAACAATTGCCTCTGCTTAAGTTTTAAAATTAAACGTACTAGTGCACTTTAATGATTCTTCTGGGGAGGGGATCTTAGACTCCTTTGAGAATCAGATAAAACCTAAGGCCCCTCTCCCCAGAGAAAGGCACAAATGGACAGAAGCACAACATTTAGCACGCAATGTGGGAAGGAGGTGCTCACAGACCTCCTGAACCCACGGACCTCCTATGTTATTTATTACACAGTCAAGTTGTGTGTTCTTACCAATGTGCGCGTCAACAGAAGGACTGAGCCTGTGTGACTCCTTCAAAAAGAGCCTCACTGCCACAGCATACCCGATAGAAAATGCTACACAAATAATTGGGACATTTATTTCCTTAAAATTGATACCATCAAAAGTAATGTCTAAAAAAATGGTTTCTTCGCACGTTTGTTTTTTCCTGATTTCACCTTCAGAAAGACTGTAAAATGACAGATTTCCTAATTTGGCATATACAGTACTGAAACTGCTCCCACAAAGTTACTTGTTCAAGGCCATCTGATATCATAATATCCAAGAAAATACACTCAAAATTCATCTAAAATGTCACTCTTCAAATTTGAAGTTAACATACAGCAAGATGGTAAATGGTTTGAGACAGAAGAATAGGAAGAAAATAATAAATAATAAATTCTTTATTTAGGCAGCAAGCAAAGAGCAAGATGGGTTTACTTCTTCTCAGGCACCTGCAACAAATCAAATTCCAAGAGTTATTTAATCCACCAACCTATGTAACCACGGGTGTCCCAGTTCGGGCAACTAGTGAAACAAGACTACCTTTAAGAGAGAACCAGGTCTCCAGGACATGAAGAATTCTCTAGCGCCTGTGATGTACATTTAGTCGCAGAGCCAAAGAAGCTCTTTACTATTACCTAATTTGTAATCTACTTAGTTTATTCCATACCACCGAAGCAAAATATATGGATTTTAAAGGGACATGTTAGAATTGCTCATTTTTTTAAATCTAGAAGTGTGATGATAAGCCAAAGAGTGGGCAGAGTTACCACAAAACTGACCGCCCACCAATTACAACAGGATGGACCAAAGGTTGGTGTGCCCATCGTAGTGCCAGGCATGTTCCTATAATGCTCACAGAAACACCACAAGGCAGGTCTTATCCCCATTTTACAGACAGGTAAACCAAGATCAAACCATATAGATTAATCCACCCAAAATTACACTGCTATTAACTGGTGGAGCGGGGGTTTGAATCTGGTCTCTTAATTCTAACGCCATGTTCCAGCTAAACTGTGCGTATTACACATCTCCTAGTACTCAAAGGTGCAACTGGGTCAGCAATTTCTCCCTTCTCTCCTCCACACAACACACACAGATATTTCAAGCTCATTTGTAACAAGTTATCCATTTGCAAAGTACTGATCAATTTCATTTAATACAGAAGCAATAAGTGAAACCCAAGAACATACTTCCACCCTAAAAAATTTTTTTTAGTTTGTTGTTTTGTTTTGATTTTATGTGGTGCAGCACAGTAACTGGTTTTGTGGAGGAGAAAGAAAAAGCGCAGCAATCACTCACTATGAAAACAAAGTTCACCAATTCCGTGTAATCTCTGACAACTGCCCAGGTGACACAGTAGTTAAAGCACGCGGTTGCTAACCAAAAGGTCGGGAGTTTGAACCTATCAGCCGCTCCGGGGGAGAAAGATGTAGCAGTCTGCTTCCATAAAGATTTACAGCCTTGGAAACCATATGCGGCAGTTCTACTCTGTCGTATAAGGTCGTCGAGAATCGAATCAACGCAACGGCAGTGGATTTGGTTTGGGTCTCTCTAAAACTTCAGAGAGCCAGAAACAGTTAAGCATCACTTGTACTTGATTTTATATTTTCAATACTCTACTTGCAACAATGAATTTACCTCAGCATAAAACAGTAATTCACATTATTTTCTATCCTGAATTCCTGAATTTATAATGTTGATGGAATCAAAAATAGATTAACATCCAAACCTGACTTCATTATCAAATACTTCTATGATCACATCTAATAAGAAAAAGACACTTTCTGTGATAATGCACTTAACAGCTAACACAACTCCAAAAAACTAGCCAATTCGGAATCTTAAACCTCAGATTGGGACTACTGACAAGTTACTCTTTTTTATTTTTTTGAATGGCCAGTCAAAGGGAAACTCCAGTCTTAATCCCTACAAAAATTACAACCCATAATGGGTAAACAGACAAGGAGACTGTTCCATCTGTAAAAGGTCAAAACTGCAAGCCACAGCCACAGTGCTGCCTGCAGTGCAAGCCTGCCACAGACGGACAGAAGGCCTCAGCTCCACAGATGCGAACATTAACAGCCTCACAGCACAGGTAATCAGGCAGGAGGACCAGGGCAGGGAGACCTTCATTCCTCATCTGGACCTTGGACATTCTGCTTAAACCCAGGAGTCACTTTATTCCACAGAGAAACATAATACATAATCCCATACATTAAAAATAAAATTCCAGCCAACAGAACCAGAAAAGCATATCCTAAACCACAAAGTGGCAAGAGAATGAAAACTGAACCTGAGAAACCAAACTGTAGAAAGAATAACAAAAGGCCCAGGAACTCTGTTGCTGAACACTCTAAACTGTACTGCAACTTCAAACACTACGCACATTCAAGAGTCATAATTCCGTTTTGGGGTTCTAAACATGGGTGAACAAACCAGTTTGCCTTCATTTTTGCAGCATGTGGTATCTCAGGAAACCTACAAAAGACTGCACCAAGAGGGAGGATTAGAAGTACAAGAGGAAAAGATTGTTTATCACTACAGCTTTATAGAAAAATAAAGAGGGGGGTGGTATTTTAGCCTAAGCAGTGTCCCTCTTCTCTCAACCAAACCAAAGACAATCCTTTCAACTACACATAACTGATAACATAGCTAATACACAAGGGTACGATTATGTTTTAGTCATTCAGACACTGATTAAGCTAATAAGAACATATAAAATTAAAACAGTTTTGAAAGTATATTAGCAAGGATTTTAGATGCCATAATCTTATTTTAGAAACTGTGGTATTTTTATATACCAAACACATACAACATCATATTTTATCATTAGGATAAATCTCTTGTCTATGAAACTATTAAAATATTCCTTTGTAGAGACCGGAGAAACCCCGAGAGTATGGCCCATACACACCCTTTTCGCTCAGTGGTGAAGTCACTTCTGAGGTTCACCATTCAGCCGGGGAGTGGACAGCCCCATAAAACCAAATGGGACTATTGAGGCACAGCAGTCCAGGGACAAGGACTAGAAGGCAGAAGGGGACAGGAAAGCTGGTGATAGGGAACCCAAGGTTGAGTAAGGATAGTGTTGATGTGTTGTGAGGTTGTTAACCACTGTCATAGGGCAACATCTGAATGAGAAACTATTTTGTTCTGTAAACCTTCATCTAAAGTGAGAATAGCAGCACAACTGGAAGAGCGTAGTCATTGTCACTGAACTGTCCATGTAGAAATTTTTGAAATGGTATATCTTTGGCTATGTATATTTTCACCAAAAACAAAAAGGTCGAGAAGGGAGAGGGCTGACATGTCATGGGGTTGTTAACCAATGTCATAAAACAATATGTATACTACTGTTTCATGAGAAACTATCTGTTCTGTAAACCTTCACCTGAAGTACAATTAAAACTATATATATATATAAAATAAATAAAGAGGTCTTTTGCAGCAGAAAAAAAAATTCCTCTGTATATCAAAAATAAAATATATCTTTGAATGTAAAATTTTTAAAAACTGCTCATTTACCAACTTCTTATTAAAACTACCATCAAAAAAATACTCTTAAATTTCAGGATCATGACCACAAAAACGGGAAGAGGCAACAGCTACAATAAATGCTTCAGAAT